CCCCCCCCCCCTCCTCCAGGTCCCACTCCCGTTCCCGTGCTGCACCAGCCGGCAGATAGTGTACCGGAGAGTGGTGACGCTCCTGTCACCGATAGAGTGCTCGATCGACGATATTGGTTCTCGGATCGTGACGATGAGGGAGGAGGTGCAGGCCGGGATCGATCGCGCGAGCGACACGAGGTGCCTCACCAGGCTCGTCCAGGGGAGCGTGTTGCCGCAGGTGTGTTGACTCTCGGGCTGCTGCTGCTGCTGCTGCTGCTGCTGCTGCTGCTGCTTTTCCTTCTGTGGTATGATTGTTGTTGTTACAGTTGGAGCGGTTCAGCTGGGCTCAAATCGAATCCATCGCGAAGTGTTGAAATTCAAGTACATGGGCACTGCTGCTGTTGCCGCCGCTGCTGCTGCGATAGCGAGGGTGTGAACGCTGCTTCGTTCGTCCGATGTGCGATCATACTAGTTTTCTAACCCTTAATTCTCGACGCCCTCCGGTCCCAGACCGTTTTACGACGTCAACGTACCCTATATCAGAGTTGGTGACCTCGTGAGTGAGATTAATTTAAAACAAGAATGAGCAAACCCAGCCGTAAGGAACACCCCAACGGCCAGGCTTCGCTTCTCACAGCCCCACTCACGGTGGTGGCAGCAGTCAGTCCATTCAAGAACAATTCCTTCCTTCCTTCTACTGCGATGCTTAAACTATTCCATCGCGGTCACATGAAAACCCGGCAGGTCAATGGCGGCGCGGTAGAGGTAGCGGAAACGTTTCTGAAGGCGTTACCACCGGAAGAGGGTAACGCCCTCCCGCCTACAACTCCCTCGGCGGTGGTCGTCGACACCGGCGGGAGCGGGGGGGCCGCCGCCGCTGCAACGGCAGGGACGGCGGCGGCGGCGGCGGAAGCAGGCGGCTGGAGCGGCGGCGGCGGCGGCCGCGGCGGCGCGAAACAGCCGGCGGCGACCGCTAGGCCTCAGCAGCGGTTCAGGCCGATCGCGCTGATCAAGGACGACCGGGCTGCGGAGCTCCGAGAGGTTTTGCGGGAGATGCTGATCGAGTTCCTCGAGCTGTGCCGGCAGCTGGTGCTCAAGACCCGGACGGTGCTGAACATTCCGAGGAACGCTCCCGTGGTGGCGCCGAGGGCTGTCGGGGAGGAGAGGACGGCGGAGGAGGTGCGTTTGTGTTCCGGCGGTAGTTGGTATGGGTAGTACCGTATATGACACAAGATAACACACACCCTTGACCAATTTTCGAAGCTCGATTTCTCAACTACAGGACAGTCACAGCGCTGAAAACGGCGGTGTTGAAACCGTGTCGTCGAGAGCTTTCCAAAAATGTATCGTTTCGTTTATGCATCCTCTTTGTCGTGGAGTAATCAAGCTTTGAAAATCGGTCCAGGGGGTGTGTTATATTGTGTCATATACGGTAGTGGCGTTTGTTGAGAGGGGAGAGGGGAAGCTGTTGTCGAGAGAGAGAGGGGGGGGGGGGGGGGCTGGGAGAGGCTCGTCGTGGTCCCGTACGTCAATAGAACCTCAACCTGTTGTGCCTGTTGGCCAGTCCGATCGCAGAGTTTTGTTTCATTGTGCTTTGTTTGTGGTGGTCTGTGCTGAAGAGTCTAGCTCTCGCCCCGCCGCCGCCGCCATGTGCCTGCACGCCCTTCTGATCGCCCTATCCCGTTCATGCGTGGCAGGTGAACGCGGAGCACAACATCTTGTGGCAGGGCGAGATGGAGCGAGGGTTCTCGAAGATGATGCAGGCGATGGAGGTATACCTACAGGAGGGGGAGGGGTGGGAGGACCTCAAGGCTAGCACCAAGAACTACGCCCCATGACCCCCCCCCCCCCCCCCCCCCCCCCCCCCCCCCCCCCCCCCCCCTCCCCGCCCCCCAGCGAGCACCGCACCCGCTAATATCTTGAATGCCCACTTTTTCTGAGTTGCGATAGAAAAGTCGGCCTCCTCGACGTGTTGCCGCCGTTGGTGCGGCAGTGGCGGGTGTGCAGTCGTTGTTGTCGTTTTCGGTTGCTTAGTGAGGCACGCCAGTGCTAGGTTTTTCTTGCTTGCGGGGGCGGGCCCCTTCCGGATGGCATGTCACGGTGGGGCGCCCCCGTTCTGTTTGTGTGTTGTGTTTTTTGTAAGGATTTTGCTTGTGTCCACTTTTGAGTACTGGTCGCCAAGATTCCAGCCTCCACGCTTTGACAAGGGGTTGTTGTTGTTGATGTTGTTGTTGTTGTTGTTGTTGTTGTTGTTGTTGTCTTTACATTAAAAACCGTTCCGATCTCTCCCTACCCACTACCTTCGTTTGTCGGTACTGATCCAACACTCGACGGGGTGGGGCGGCGGGAAAGGGTGACCGAGCTTTGCGTGGGTAGATTCTGGCGCGTTCATCACGGGGGCGGGGGTGGGGGGGAGGTGACACGTTGGTGGCCCCTCAGACAACAGCAGCTCACCTCTATTTTCCACCGATGAACGCGGTTTAATTTACGCCCCGTAGTTTCCTATTGGTGTGATTTTTTGTTTTTTTGTTGTGCCGGGCCCGACGAGAGCGCGTTGCCCGGCTGTTGAGATTCCGGCGGCTGATGCCGCATAGCAGTAGTACAGCACCCGTCCCTGTAATGATACAAAGAGCGGAGAAGAGCTGCTGCGGTGCTCATGGTCACCACGCGCAGACAGGGGCGGAGGACTCTAGCAGCTTATGATCTCCTGGGAAATCAGGATCAGAAAATGCAGCAGTTGTTAACCTTGGGATTGCTTGCTGACTGGGGAGGATATGGGGCTGAAATCAGCCTGTCCGTAGAAAGAACAAGGGCGGGCTGNGGGGGGGGGGGGGGGGGGGGGGGGGGGGGGGGGGGGGGGGGGGGGGGGGGGGGGGGGGGGGGGGGGGGGGGTGCACCGAGATACTGAGTGCGCGACTCCGATGCCCTCGCACGTGTGGTGTGGTGTAGATGGTGCCTTCGCTTTGTGTGGTGAATATGTTGTAAAGATGTCGATCAGTCCGCATACGAAATTAAATTCTATGGGTGTGGCGCAGCAGCAGCTGTTTTACTTGGCGATGTTGATGTAACAGGATTTGACTTACGGGTGGTGGTGACGTTCGGCGTCGTTTTTTTTTTAGTATATGCGGTGCGTGCGTGTGTGATTGGTATGCTGGACAGGGTCTGTCGCAACGCTCTTCGTGATCCCAGAGCCACAACTCGCCCACGTTTAGTTTCGCGCGCTCACACACGCGGCGTGCAAAAGCAGCAGTGTTTATATCAGCTTTTGACGATATCATGTGGATTTCGGGGCCACGAGTGCCGTTGCGGGGATTTACTGATGAGTTCTAGCAGGAGGGGGCAGTTCATGAAAGGGTTTGTAGGTGGTGTGCCGAGGCTGAACTTCGCAGTGGACGGGGATGGGGTGGCGGGGCAGATGCACCCACCAACTCGCGGTACCAGTTGTGCGGCGATATTCGCGGCGAATGTTCGAACGTAAAGATGTTCGAGAGAGGGTACAATAATGGAAGGCACAAATCGTGAAATACGTGATGATGGAACAATCAATAAAAAAATATCGTGCGTTTCTTCCCCCCGTTCTGCGACCTGTCCCGCGGTGGGGTGGAGAACATCGCACATACCACCAAAGCCCAAGGCGGTGACAGAGAGAGGTACGCGACGGCGGGGGCTGAAGCTTGGTTGACTCGTTTCGACGCTGCTATCGTTCGTAAATACTTCGTACACAAGAACGTCATGTTTCGCTGTTAGACAGCGACCCACCTCCGCCGTCAAAGCACAACGTGACGGGAGGCTTGCTTCGTGTCGACCGCTCTGGTTGGAAGCACAGAGAGGGACGGTTGGGATGCTCATACGTCATGCTTACCCGTATGGTCCTTGTATTTTTAAGCAAGAGTACATTGCTACAAGTACTTCGTGTTTGGTCTTGAGGTGCACGGTGTCCGAGAGAAGAAGTCTCTTGCCTTGCAGCTGGGTGCTGCATGTGCAGCAGGTGTACGGCGCGGCCCGTTTTACCCTTCCTCGGTGTCAGCACGTCTCCCACTTGGACCAACGTCAAAAGGATTCTACTGCTGCTGCTTTGCACACGGTGGACCTAGGAAAGGGGCAGAGCATGTACCGTAACGCCGTCGCGAGGTGCTCGGTGGAAGTCAACCATTGGCCGTTCACGGAGCGATACCACCAGTTGGATTTTTACGTCATGCATACAATCGCTGCTGAAAGCAGCGCCCAGTCTCTCTTTCTGTCTCGAGATACAATCAAAATTCCCGTACATGCCCGCCCGCTTATAACCTTTTTCAAGTGGGCTCTGAGAAATGAATGGCATGAGCTTCGTTTTGGGATGCAAAACCAACACATTCGTGTCTCACCTCCTACTACAATTACTACTATTTCGTCCTACCAGGTATCTATCTGCCCCAAGCCTCGTGTTCCAGGGGATAAGGCCACGACTACGCGATGAAAGGTCCAGAACCATACGCCCATTGGCGCGCTACAACCTCGAAGTATAATATCCGCTCGGAAGCCTTATGTGCTCACAACGAAGCTAAAGCAGGCAAACTGCGATCGAGAAACTAAAAACCTTTCAACACAAGTAACGTTCACCACCGTGGCGAAGGAAAATACTTGTAGAGCGACCCTGAGCTAGCGTTCACTCCAAGCGGAAATCACGCTTAAATCCCTAACCCAAAGGCCTTGGCTACACAGCATGCATACAACGCTCGTCCTATTTGGGAGTAGTTACACTCCGTTCAAAAAAAGAAAACGCTCATAGGCGATGGTTCCCAACCAAGACGCACCATCCGTTGCTACATGCTCCGTTCAGGAGAATCAGGAGGTGCCGGTGACGACAAGCGCCATCTCAACCAGCGCGGATGCCGCTGNCATGCCGTAGCCCCCCCCCCCCCCCCCCGGCAGCCACAACCTCGTCTTCAGGCAACGCCCCACTATTGCCTCCAAGTCCGAACTCCTCTCCGGTTTGGACAGCGGCACCGGCAGATCTCCCGCGCCTCCACCAGCCCCAAAGACGCCAGCCCTCTTCTTTCTGGCCTTCGCTCACCTGCTCCTCCTCGATTGGGGCGGCTTCTGCCGGCGAGAGGGCCCCGCCGACACCATCATCGTCGTCGTCGTCGCTGGCGGGGGGGGG